CATTATTTTATATATATTATATATATATATATATATATAAATAATATAATTTTTTTAAATATAATTTACTGATATGTATGTGTACTGATATGTATCGTGTTGCCGTAATGAAAATATCATACGCTAGCATTATATATATATATATCTTATATCTTGCTTTCTTTTTCTAATAAGTAAAACGCGCGTCATACCCTGAAAAAACGCGACGCGATGCTCCGTTTCCCTCATCTTTTTCTTTTTATTATTTTTTTGTACCCTTTCTTTTAAAAACGCGTACATCATCATCGCATTGTATATTGCGATTGCATGACGTTCACGAGCGCACCGAGAGAAATCACCTGTTCCTTTTAACACGAAAGGCGGTATTTCCGCATATTTTTGTAACGTTAAACAAGGCTGCTTCATCTTACATCCGCATCCATCAATGTCATCATAATTAAAACAAAAATTACAATTTGGTACATGGATGCGGTGGAAATATCGAATACTTAAATACCAAAGACTTTCTCGGCAAGAAATTTAATTTTTCTTTTTCCTTTTTATTTTTCGTTTGTCGCGGTGTCGCGTCGCGAAACATTTACGCAAAAAGAAATAATCATGATGACGAAGCTAAAATTATCAAAACATACGTAAAAGAACGATTGATTAAAAATGTTTAAATCAATATACTGTTCCAGTAATAAAATCTGAATAAAAGTTATCATCTCTCTCCCTGTTCCCAATATATAAGATTATTCCGCAATTGCAACAGAAACTACGCAGCATCGTCGGACATTATGCTTAAAAAGATATCCTAGGGAAATAATTGAGAATAATCGCAGTTACACGCGTAGTTCTTTTACGCAGAAGTAATTAAGAGCAATGTAGATTCCCACCTTCGACTCTAATTACCGAAGCACGTGATCCAATAGTTGTGCATCCGTGAGAGATAAGTTGCTTCTGGGAGAGCCAATTTTATGGCATTGTGTTTAATAAGAATTACATTATCGGCTTCTTCCGCTCGACCTTTCCACGAAGTAACGTAATTTTGATTAAAAATCATCCCTTGCCACGTGTTTGAGCATAATTACTTTCTGAGAGTTTCCTCGCACGAAGTTTGAAGTTTGAACTCTCTAAGATCTTAACAATCTCATCGAGACTCTCTCTTCAGAAGAAATCTTACTTAAGTTTAAGAATTTTAATTTGTCGAGAAGATATTTTATCTCAATTACAATCTCATAGCACTTCGATCACAATCTCAAACATTTCAATTCTTCGTTTGTAGATATAATCATAATAAATTTCTCCCACGAAAATAACTTGCGTAGTTTAAGTTTTTGATGCACAACTGTCAGACTGTTATATCACTACCGACCGCGAACGATTGTCATTAATGTTTCATCACTTATGCAAGACACAGTACCGTGTACGTGCTCGTATATTTAAAGATGAGACGGTACATCGAAGAAAGCCAAGACACGCACAACGGCATATACGTGCATAGAGTGAGAGAACCTTCAAAAAGGTTCAGCAAAGTAGCTACAAGAGGAAGCTCAATATTTTAGAAATAGGTCGGACAAAAGCTCATTACTTGTTCACACGAGGAGAGGATGCGCCTCGACGCGTAGTTAGAAAAAGCGATAGAAAACGTAAAAGAGATCTGATTAAATCGTAGTCTGGAGAGAATTTTTCATGCGATTTTTCAAAATTTTTATGTGAATTTCAGAATTTCTCATAATTTTTCATATGTTATTTTTATAACTTTTTAGAAAATTTATCAGATTTGTTGTACGAATTAAAAAACTTTTCACAAATACCGAGAAAGTTTACATTTTTTCTAGAATTCTTCATGTATATGAAGCTTCTTAAATATTCGAAAAGGGTCTTCATTTTATAATTTCTTAAAACTTATAAAAATGAAAATATGAAAAAGTTTAAGATATTTTTTCAAAAATCTTCATAAATTTAAAATATGACAAATTCTTAAAAATATATAATATAATTTCTCCTTCAACATATTCATGAAAATCCGATTGCGTTATTTAGGATCAATAATCGCAAAACTTTAGAGGAAGTAAAATAGTAAAATATTATAAGATGTTAACAGTTTGAAAAGTTAAAAGATAATATTATATTAAATCGCAGAGATCGTTCAGAGAACTTTAATACGCTTTTCAGTCATTTAATTATGTTTTTCTTAATGACAACGGTTCAAATCCAAATAGAGGCATAATTAAATTTTCCGAGTACATTAATTATATCAATCACGTTCTGATTATTACACTTTCTCCAAGCGGATCAACAATACGTTTGACCTGTGTAATAAAATTATCCAAACGTAATAGAGTTACGAGATACACGAAATGGAAATCCGTCTGATTGTTCGTCATGTAGAAGATTCGAAATTCGCTCCCTTGTACACGGGTCTCGATCATCATCTCGGTGCTCGTGATCGCGCTCGGCGCGTTGAAGCGAGAGTAAGAGATTCGAAAAGGATAAGAAAGGAAAGAAAAATGACAGGCTACATCCTGCGCGTAAGAACTCGCGACGAAGGAAAGATAGAAGTGCCCGCGGAAAGGATGATTTAGGCTTTATCAAACGAAGGGTCTGCTGATGCGACGACGGTGACGCGACACCGGCGGCGATACGACGGCGGCGACGACGATGACGGTTCCTCGTCGACAACGACGACGATGACGACGGCAACGGCGACGACGGCGGCGGCGGCGGCGGCGACGACGGCGGTTCGGCGGCGAGTGTGACCGTTCAATCAAGGAAGCCCGTCTTAACGAGTTTCTCGAGGAAGAACTTGACGTCGCCCAGCTCGGAGTCCTTGATACCGATAGATTTCAGCATGCCCAGGTCGCCGTTCTCCACCGCCATGAAAACTGAACGCAGGTGCTCGAGATCCGAGCGCATCAGGTGTAGCGCTGCGCCAAAGTCCTCGATCGTTTGCGATTCTGACGGCCGAAACAGATAGTCAGAGGCCAAGTCGCGGGATCAGCTCATTCAAGGATAGAATAGCAACGACGCAAGACAATCTTTTTCTAAATTCAAAATCCTTGTACTCACCGCGTTAATTAAACAAGATAAATTTTGTTCGACCGACATTTTTTACATGAAGTTGGATTAAAATATTTGCGATTTCGTATAACGAAACGTGAGGCAATATTGCTGCTTTTAATAGATTTCCGATATACGTGGAAAAGATTTCACAGTGAGAGATATCGGAGAAGTCGACAGTTCTATTCGATCATGTTCTATTTGGTATCGCGTTCAGCAGCGCAAAGTGTCGTATAATTCTAAGAAACTTACCCGACAGCGCGATGGCCACTTTTTCCACACCACCGAGAGGTTTTAGCGTATCGCGTGCTTTGGTTCCGAACAACTTCTCTAGGTAATTGGGACCGTGGCTGGCTAACAGAGACTGCAAAAAACTCGCAGTTTCCTCTACGGGCGGTCGTTTGGCTGTAATGGCACAAAAACAAAATTCCATAAAAATTACTACATCGCTATAATAAAATAAAACAAAATAAATGCATAGTGACCCACTACGCCGAGGATCAATAGCACGTGCTCATAAACATTATTTAAATAAATTGGAATTTCCTCCAAATCTCCAAAAAAAAAAAAAAATAAAATAAAATAAACATGGGTATACACAAAACGTTGATTAAGTACTTATTATGAGTACGGTAGAAAGTGAAATAAAAGATCATGTTTATGCATCAAATGAGTGTAACAGCAATCCCTCCCTTATTACAGCTGCCTGGTGCAATTTCACGGAACATCGTCGAGTGTATCCCCTGCGGTATCCATTCTCTTATATATGTACATACATAATGTAAAATTCACGTCAGTAGATATTTATAAAATAAAATCTACTGACGCCAAATCACGAGATAATCCTACGTAAAAAGAGATATAAATCATATTAAAAGTGTAAAGTATATTAAAAATGAGATCATACGTTTTACTGCGAATCAGTTTGTTTACCATAGTTAGAACAAGATACGTAATTAATAATGCTAAGTGGGCACTGCCGATTAGATCTAATTAATTAATGAATTCAAAATTAAGCTGACCTGCGGTACACAATCTTGAGTCCTCGTCGTATCCGTCCTGACAGTCGGGTGCTCCGTCGCAGAGATACTGTATCGAGATGCAGATACCATCGCCTGGACACTTAAACGGTTCGTACGGATGGCAAGCCTCTGAAACCCACATAATAAATAGTGAACGAGCGAGAAAAATAATCAGAGAAAAGTAAGAAATTAGGAAATTGTAAAATTCACACAAAAATATTTATATTTGAATTAAACTTTTCTCGACTTTTATTTAATAATGAGAAAAATAATCAGAAAGGAGAGCAATCTGAGAAAAATAATTGGAGGAAAGTAAACTCGAAACGTATGCTTTCAAAAAATCAGAAATGTGTGTGTGTATATATATGTACATATGACACTCAATCTTATTCTGCGAAAATGAAAGTTGGAAAAAATCAATTACGTTCGTCGGTGGGACGGTCGCGAGAGTCACCGGATGATTAAATTACAACGATAACGTATTAAAGTGAGGGATCCAAAACGGAATTAATAAAACACGACGTGGGTAATGCGACAGTACGCTTCGTGCGAGAGGCTTTCGGAATAATTGAGCAAACACGCGATCGTATTATTCACGCTACAATAGCAGGCGCGCATAGTTAACGATCCTGAAAAATCAATTAATCAAAACGCTTAATCTGATAGAGCTGCAGGAACAATCGTAAAGCGTATTGATTGTTTGCTCCTTAAAGCTCGTAAAATTCTTCTCCCTTCGTCGTAAAGTTTTCCTCGCAATTAAGTCTCCCTACAAGTCTTTCTACACAGTAAATATTGTCAGATTTCATAAAAGCCGTTCGACATTTTTATATACTGACTCAATTAAAAAGAAGAGGAAAATTGTTCTATATTGAGCTTCTTAAAAAAAAAAAAAAACAATTTTCTTAGATCCCTTAGAACATCTGTCTGAGAAGTTCCGATTCCCAGAAGATCAGACATATGCTTATTATATAGAAAAGTTTTACGCGAAAAGCTGCATTTCTGTATCTTTACCGGTCTCGTGGGTTTTGTAATATTTTATACGTAAGATATTTATTCGTACGCCCCGTTGATACGAGAAAAACATGAGTAATTTAATGCCCATGCATGTATTCGACGACGTATGTTTAAGTCGAATGAAAATTTTTATCCGGTGAAAAACAATTCTCGTGAAACGAGAAAATATATTGTGCAACGGTTCTTCTCGGCGATCGATTGTGTAATATTGTGCCACATTCGTTATACGATCGCCCACGTTCATTTCGCACGTAAACTTAATTTGCACCGCAAACACACGTGAATACACTGTGTCCATAAAGCATCCTGTGACAGTCAATTTTGATCATATTGAGAATTCGATATCTACGTATCGAGCCATCGCGCATCGGCGCGGCCATCAGCGTTATTAAATTATTACGCGCATACGTCACAGTCCTCTTTTTTCATCCGTAGTGTTTAGACAGGGCGTTTTTACGTGGGTTTCAGGCAAATATTTCACCAACGAGAAATCCGAGGTCATATCCAGATATCGCGTTATCTGTCTCATATTAAGGATTGCATCAAGCTTAAACCGGTCACGGGATATTATTAAATTACTGCACGAGCGTGAGCGTCGCAATTTTTCCCATATGTTTAGATAAGACTCCCACGCATTCGTGGGCGTTTCTCACCAGAGGCATTACAAATATTTTACTCGATCGACGCCGAGCGATGATTCCCCGGAGAGTAGCCGCTATTCCCGCGGGACCGCGACCTCGATGCATTCCAAATGAAATACGTTCGTGGAGGGAATATTAAAAAATAAGATTACGTCTGTTTACAGCTGGGAGATACCTAGACAGGTTTAATGAATGTTAAATACAAGCGTTTTCAATCGGTAACTACTACTCTGAACTGATATTCTCTGCACGCACGCTATGGAGAGCATTTATAATATAAACTTTTTGAAACTTCATTCGAGTTTCATTTACGTAGGAGTTTTTCTCCATACAGGATACGAGTTATAAACAGAGTTTAAAAGCGAGCTTAAATACACTCGAAGAGAAACTTTCTACAGACTCTCATCATCTCGCTGACGACCGAGAGATGAAAAATAAATAGAAACTTATCAACTAACGTCTTATATCTAAAAGCAATTTCAGTTTCATTAAATTTCCGAGGGCACGTTCTATCGACTGTATCTCTCGTTTGACCTCTTACTCGATTCTTATTTTGATTGGGAATCCGCAGGAAAAAAAAACGACTTATTACTCTGGAAACGCATATTGAGATGACATAAAATGGCACAAGAGGTAATCAAGAGGATTGATGGAAGAAAAATAATTTAAGGGGGGGTCTAAATTTTATCCTAGTTACCGCAACTTTGCGCAGTATCCTTTTTTTTTTTTTATAAAAAATAGATTTATGCAATAGATAATTATGAGAAACAGGGAGCTTGGTTGAGACGAGGGATATTGGATATAATATTTTTAGTATCAAAGCACGGTGAAAGAGATGGAAGAATTGTAAAGTGGGTCTAAATGTTTTTAATTGAGCGCAACTTTGCAATCTCATTATTCTTTTTAGAAATAACAGATGCAACAGATAATTGTGAGAAACAAGAGAGTTCGGATGAGACAGGGGATGTTGAATATAATATCTTTAGTATCGAAGCACAGCGAAAGATGGAATTATAAAATGGGTCTAATTTTGTTTCTTTATAGCTGGCGCAACTTTGCAATATCATTTACTTTTTATTAGAGAAAAAATAAATTTATGCAACAGACAAAATCACGAGAGAAAGAAGGGGATTTGGGTGAGACGACGAATATTAGATATGATAGTTTCAATATCATAAATGTATTGGGTAAGAGGTGGAAAATCAAGTGTTAATTGGTGTAACTTTGCGATATCACTATTTTTGTTTCGAAAAATTAGATTTCTTTCGCGATAAATAGTTACGAGAAACGGGAGCGCAGGTGAGATAGGGGATGCAACGACCGCATGAAACCCGCTTCGCGGTATCCCGGCTCTGAATAGCTGCGAACTGAGTAAAAACGCGCGTTTCTAAATGTCATCGGCTATATGTGACTTGGTACGCGTTAAGTATGCGCGTTATTGACCGAGCGAATGTACACGTACACGTAACTAACCAGAGCTACACGCTCGCATATGGCCGAGTTTCAACGAGACATCTCGTCGGAATTGTCTGGACCTGTTAATTTTAATGAATGTTTATCAGAAGAAACATGATAACGTAAATGGCAGTACCTCTTGAAAGCTCTTCCTCTCCATTCCGTGCCCTTATAAATGTCCCGCGTGAGCTCATATATAAACGTTTACTTTAGCTTACTTCCTGTAAGCTAAAGTTTACACGTGTATCTACGTATATCTCGTACGTTACATGTGTAAAAGAAAAAGTTTTCAATTATTTCATTTTTAATTCTTATCTCTCGAACCGACGATCATATTCTTCAGCTAATTTCAAGGATTTTGCTTACAAATTCGTCACTTGTGATTCGATTATATAATAATTTGAATAAATAAATATGTATATAAAGTTGTAAGAAGTTGGCAATGAATAATTTCTCTAAATTCTCGTAAAGTCAACCTCGTCGAGTAGTCGAGGAATTAATTAGATGACGGTGGAAGTGGAACAGTTTATGTGTACTTCGACATATGCGAGATAAGGATTATATATGCAAATTTGTTCGTAAGTTTCATGTAAAGCTAATATAATATGTTTAATATATGCCTACAGTAAGCTTCTCTAGTTAAAATTTCATAATCACATGAGCTGTAAATTAGTTTCTCGAGCTGTTATAGTTTCAACGGTTGCAGTAGTTCAAATTAAGTTTGGACAGACAGTGCACGAGTTACCCTTCAAATGTCTATGTGTCTTATTTATATATTCTCTAGAAACATTTCACGTTGATATTGCATAAAATATATAAATACATGTTCAAATTTATCATAAACAATTAAAGCTGTCATCAAATTGCTACAACTTTATATATACATTCAAATTATTAGTATTCGTTAAAAAAATATGAAAGTACATAAAATGTAGTAAATTGTAAAAATATATTGTAGTAAAATATTCCAATATAATTTTTATTTTAAATTGCAAGATGCTCGAGTGAAAAGAAAACACTGGTAATAAAACTGATAATAAAATTAAGTATGAACGATTGTGAATATTTGATAAATTTTGGTACTATTTGATTACCGCTTTTAAATAACCTTATATATAGATATACTGTAATAAAAACAGTCGGCGTACTGTAATAACAATGAAGATAAATTCCATAGGGCGAATAAATCAATTAACTTAAATGTTATATAAAAATTTATGTAGAGAGCAGGATGCAAAAAAAACCTATGTACGTTTTATTATGATAAAAATTTTACAAACATGGAAAAAATAATATTTTTCAAATATACGAAGAACACGCACGTTTCATCTTCAACTTGAATATTCTACAGTTTATAAAATCATTCGAGATAAAAATTTCATTAAAAATTGTAATATTCTTAATAGACGTTTATATATGCAATTCCTTAGATTTTCTCGAAAAGAACTTTGAAATAGTATTTTTTTTTTTTATAGAACTATCTGCGTGACTTTATTTTTGCGCGATTTCTTCCACGCGATCGTCTTACGATTGCGCGCCTAAAACTCGCGGTCTCGTTGGCAATTTCAGAATAACGCTTTATCGAAGGGTACGTTAACGAATTTTCGTCGTATGTTAATTCCATCGTGTCGAGATTTCCCGTTGTCGACTTACCCGAACGTTTCGTGTTGAAATGACCGTAGAAGCGGCTAAGGTCGATCGCCATGACGGCGCGCGGAAAAGCGGCGCAGGCCGTCAGGGCGATGCCAAGTGCAACCGCACCGTTGCAGAATCTCCGTACCATCCTGGCTTCGCGAATACGTTTACAAGTTACAGACAGGCGCTCCTTTATCTTCTTTGCTCTATTGCTGCTGCGACGACAAGTTCGGGGCTCCCTCTTCCTCTCTCTCTCTCTCTCTTTTTCACTTCTTGCTGGGAGGGGACTTCCCTTAATTCTCCCTGAAGAAAATCCTTGATTCCTCCTTGCGAACGCGAACCCGGTATAATGTATCGTCACCTTCTCGCGAGAATCACCTGCTCGCTCGCTCGTTGGTATCTGACTGTATCTGGTGCGCCACCAATGACCAAGGTGTTGGAGAGTAACTCCTCGGGGTGGCTCGCGCAAGGTCCCTCGCCCCGAGAGCACTTGAGCACTCCGCTTCGGCTGCGCTGCGTCTGTAATTCTGTATGCGTGGGTGCGAGCGAATGTTAACGGCGCGGCGAGGTCGCTCTCACCACCCACTTCGTTCGCCCTTTCTCGGAATCTTTCTGGTCTCTCGCTCCCTCGGAGCCACCACCTCGCTCTCTTGCCACCTCCCTCTCCCACTTGCGCCCTTGCTGGACGCGTGACGGTGACGGTGACGGCGCACAGGCTGCACAGCCACCCTGCGAAGTGCGAACACGGTACACACCTGCGCCACGCGATCTCACCTGCGCCTGCGGCCGGCTCGTGTTGGTAGGTTGGTACTTGGGCGGTGGGGGAGGGGGAGGGGGAGGACGAAGAGGGCGCGTGGGAGACCGGTCGACCAATCGAAAAGCGCGAGATCACAGGTCTACCCTGGAACACCCACGCTTGCCGTTGCGCTCGCATCGATTTCAACCCCTCGTCGCCCAGTGGCGACGAAACGAGGGGTTGATAACGCATTCAACTGCGATGCGTCGGAATTATTAAGATTTTCATTTTCTTTTTTTTTTTCACCCTTGATATCTTTTACCATTGCATTAAATTTTCATATAATCGGCATACTGATATTTCCTTCTTTCTTCATCTCCCCCTTCTCACCAGGTATGTTCCCTCTTATCACGCTCCGTTCCCAACTCACAGCTGTTACGCTCCTGTCTTTCTCAATAGGTAACTTTCGCTAGTCGTTACAAGCGTATACTTTTAAGCGCCCGTGATAATATGTCGACGTTTAGTAATTTTACAGCGAGTCCGCTGTTATCTAGTTGAGAATCACCGTAATTACTCGACGATCTCTCGAGTCGTGAATGATAGCTTCTCAAACGGCGCGCGATACTATGGCTACATCATCAAACGAGATTGATAAATAATCGTCACGTAATGTCGAGTAATACCGTTTACCGCAATAGAACATCGCAATATTGATTACTTTCAATCACAAAGAATGAACGTCCGGAATTTGCGTAGATTATTCAGCGCGATGTTCTAAATAAATGAAGATACGTACTACATTAAACACGAGAGTGTATTATATTCTCAATATTGTATATTATTACGAAACTGTTAATAATAATTTTGCAATAATCAAATTTCCAGTGATATATTTCTACAATCGAAAAAGTTTATTGAAAATTGAAAAAAAGTTCTGTTATTTTAGTCTTATAAATTCTACGGATTTAACCGTACTCATTTGTCATTTTGATCAAATATCCTAATTTTTTCTTCTTTTGTCTTTGCTTAACTTTATACAGGTAGAATAGCACGCGATAAAAAGAAGAAGTATGTTTGGCATCAATGTCAATAAGAAATTTCGATAAAAAAAGAATAACAGATATATTGTGTCCGACTGATAAAAATATAAACGAATTATACAATGTCTATGTTATTATATTTATTATTAGAAATTTTTCCTTCCCTTGTTAGCTATAAAATTGAAAAAACTACACAAGGAAAAAAATTATTCTTTTTAATTTATAGTTTTTAATTTAACTCGACGCCGATTTTATAGAACTTGGAGAAGCCTCTATTTATGAGATCCTTTTCCAGCAAGATGAAATGCGGTTATTCGATGGTTATCCGAGTTATTACGTGGATTAGCACATCCTACGCGTACTTTCATTTTATTTCATTTCACACTTTTTCTCTTTTTACGATTCTTCTTCTACAGTATTGGTACGCGAAATCCATTACAGATGTTTGTAAAGTACAACTTTTCTTGATATATTATCATAATGGTTCATAAAATTTAAGTATCAATATTCTAATGATATATTTCTAGGCTCGAAAAGATTAGAATTTATTGATATAAAAATTATTCTTTTTTTATATATGAAATTATTCTATTAAATTAAACAGAAAAAAATCTGTTATTTTATTTTTGTAAATTTTATAAATTTTTTAACGTATACATTTGTCGTTTTGACAAAAAATGTCCTAATCCCTTTTTTAATCATTTTCTACGAAACAAACTTAAACGTTCTATTTTTTATTATAAAAATTTTACTATTTCATAATTGATTATAATATTTATATTATTTTGTATAATTCAATATATTACTTCTTCACCGAGACTTCTATTCTGTAATATAAATATAATCTACATTTTGTACTAAATTTAGAAATCGGCGTAGATTTTTACATAGTTCAACATACAGCTTTACTCAGCTTGACTGAGGCATCGAGTGGCTTGTCACTCGGTGCGATTGACTCGACGATCTGTAAATTCGGCTTCAATCCCACCTGCGCTCATATAAGCAATTTTTTGTGTTTAACGTTGGAGGCGTATCGCGTAACCACATAACTAATCAGAAGCGATCTTATTACAGATGGCCATGTTACGTACAAGTGCGAAAGAATGTGATGTATGCAAATAGAGACTCATAAATAGGAGATATCAGGCATGTCAAACAATGCCAGAAATGTTGATGACAATGCCACTGCTGTTATTTCCCTTTCTTCCCACACGGAGTGTTTTCCCAGAGTATCCCTCCTTCGGGTTAATCCTGATCCCCCTCCTTTTGAAAACGTTATAATTCCTAAAAAGCAAGCCATGGACTAGTTTCACTGCCTTACATTCGTTTGTCGTTTTCCCTTGAATTATCAATTTCCTCCTCGCTGTCAGAGATAACCCGAATCACGCCGCTACATGAAGCACTGTTCCCTCTGTTCCATTTCTTGAATTAATCCATAGAAAGTAATTGTCAAATACAATTTAATGTATATAAATGTAGTTATTTATCTTTCTATCTCATGAAGCAAAATATTCTAAAGCTAGCCGCACACGATGCATGATCTTCATGCTTAAGGGCCATCTACGTAAGTCGCAAACACAGAACACAGTTCGCAGACGCATTTGCGACAGCCAATCAGAAGCATCGACTAATGACGGCTTTTCATTGGCAGTCGCAAATGCGTCTGCGAACTGCGTTCTGCGTTTGCGACTTATGTAGACGGCCCTTTACTCTCTTGCATGCTGATCAATGCATGTTACTTTGCTCGGCTCGCTGCATAAACGTCATCACACGAAGGTGATGGCTCTAACCTATACATTTTGCATACGCATGACACCAATCAATCACGTGAATGATTCTTAACGTTTTGATTGACGCGTGCGAGAAAACGAGCATGAAATAATGCGTCATATCAAATATAAAAATCAAGGATGGTAGTATACTTCGCTCAATGCACCAAGATGTTTAACACGCATCAGAGCAGGCACAGCAGCATGTAAGCCCATTATGCAGGAAATCATGCATCATGTGCGACTAGCTTAATATTCTAATCGTAGAAAGTAATTGTCAAATACAATCTATATACAAATATAGTTACTTATCTTTTTATCTCTTTCTCTCTCTCTCTCTCTCTCTCTCTCTCTCTCTCATAAAGCAAAATATTCTAATCATTATTTATTTATTATTCATACATTATACTTGCAATATTTGACGAACTCATAAGGTACTTACGTTTGTAATGCGATCAAGAATTGAGTTGTAGATTCTTTCCTGATAAAAAAAGATTAATTAACTGAAACATAATAGTCACAAATATATATATATACAGAGAGAAAGAGAGAGAGAGAGAGAGAAAGAGAAAGAATAATAAAAATGTAATTTAAATAATTTTCTAAAAGAAAATTAAGACAACAAAACGTAAAAAAGGTGTATATACTTCTTCCATGTTTCATTGTTTCAATTTCCGCCTCCTCCTAGAAGGTCTAGCGTTCACGTTTGTATTACTTTTCCCTTATTCAACTTACGCTCCAATTTTTATTTTCGCCAGGATTTTCCTCTCTTTTCTCTATTTTTTATTATAAAAACTGTACTTCAAAAAGGAATAATTCAGCTAGGACTCATTTGTATCGAAACTTTACACATACTTACTTGAACGTAACAACGTTCGGATCCACTATTGGGAATCATGGTGAAAAACTTGAAGTTCTCACTGTATGCAATAGCGCAATGTAGTGCGAAGTAATTGAGCCAACTTCAAAAGGAATCATCAGCAATATCTCGACGATATTGTCACTCGTTTTCACACGTATACGTGGACAAAAAAGTGGGTCACCGGTTCTCTTTTTTCTCTCATCGAATTTGAATCAAAATTTGCGATTGTAGAGAATCGAAAGGTTATCGATATTCGCAGTCGAGATTTATTATGCCTCTCCCGCTTCTAGAGATGTCACGGTAACGCAAGGGCGCACCAACCGATTTGAGCTGATTTGAGCCGATTGTGGTCGTGTAAACAGACGAGAATGCGTCTGGCCTGATGGTCGCGATGCAATCCGACATCATGGAGGATTTGAAGATTAAATTTTTTGGCCTCATTAATAAGCAGGCAAGCTCGTTCACGAATACTCCAAGCGAATATCGTAATGTGTCAAGTATAAGCGCGGCTTCGTTTGTTGCGTTGTTAGGAATTAGGTTATGTGACGACTCGGAAGTGATGTGTACAGTTGAATTTGACGTTTCGCTGTCAAAATGATATTGCGATACTTTTTATACTTTTCATCTTCGTAATTAGTTTTAACGAGGACCAGTGATAAAATAGTAGTTTTAAGAATGTAACACTTTAATATTTAATTACATTGTCTCTCTTGTGACAGTTATATTTATGTCATAGTATGTCTAATTTAAATATATCTATACATTATAATTCATCTATATTTAATATTTGTATTGAATTATACAATGTAAATTTAAATTACTTATAA